AAAATATTGAGCATGTGTATAATATGAGGATCGGAGCATTTAATCCTGAGAATATAAATTGAAAAATTTCGTCCATTTTCGTTAGGACCTCTGGTAAAAATTCATTTTCAAAAATTAGGTGTGGTCCACGGGGGTAACTCATTGACTGGGTCCACAAACAGGCCCATGGACTAGGTCCACAGAGGTGGTCCTTGCATGCTTTGTACACCTTATTACATGAAATGCTCGCCACACGCTACTTTCTAGAAGTTCGCGATACAAAAACAAACGCGAAATAAAGTGACGCGAACAATGAGTGTCGCGAACATAACATGACGCGAAAATTAAGTGACTGTAACTGCTGTAAACTTATGCGGCTTAGTACTGGATCGTTTTACTGCCATCATCCATCCTCTAAGATACATTACTTTAATGACTCAGCCCTCGAATTATTCAAGTTATTTCCTTCTCTTGGGTTCTACCAGTTAGTTTTAATGTGCTAAAAGTTATCCTTTATACGTTTTATTTCAAAACAATTCCTGTCCCCGTTTTTATTTGGCTGAGTATTATTTTCTTCGAGTTCCTACCAAGTGTTGTCTTAATGCTCTTCTTTGTTTCAATGATATTTCACGTACGCAGGCATGATCGGTTAGCACGCATCGTAGTAGAGCAGTTACGTTTTAACCATCAGATGTCGTTTAAAATCCATCACGAGAGGTCCGATCCGATCTGCAGTAATAGTGATGGGTCTTGTCATAGGAGTGTTTCTTGTTTGCTATGGGATGTATCTGCGTTGCAGTTTTACACTATTCCACACCACCTCATGTAAAGATGAAAACTACAAAATTCCTTTCTTGGTTTTAAACTCAGCCATTAACCCTTTAGTTCATGCCTTTTTCAAAAGAGGTATAAAGAAAGAGTTTAAAAGACTTCTTGGACCTGTGTTTTAATTTAAAGAAAATATTAGTAATGTTAACGAAAGCCTACCACTTTACGAGCGTACGCGTAACTCGTCGATGTAGGATGTAGGTCTTTTAAGACGGTGAAAGGCTTGAGAAGAGACTGATAAATCTGTGAATCTTGGACTGAAAGCGAATTGAAATTTGGAAAAATGGCGTATGAGGAGAGAAAACAAGAACATTTGTACGCTAAGAGAATTTAAAATACTATAGGGAAAGGACTTAGGATCAAGATTCACACAGTAGTGGGAGGCGAAAGTCACATCACATGGAACTTTTTAGTATCACATTGAAAGAGTATAATTCAATTTATGTCCACATCCTGCTAGCAGAGCCTTTGTTTTGGTGCACTGTTAAAAAAGAAATACTCTGCATGAATCGAGTAAGATCATTCTTGAGGGTCTCTGATAGGTTTTTTGGGATCCGGGATTTCCCTTATTTGCTCGGGATTGGGGATTTTAAAGCAAAATCGGACAAGATTCGGGATGGAAAGTATGCTTGAGAGTTAGAATGCCCAAAATAACCCTCGGCTACGGGATTACACGAAATTTTGGGTCGGGATGACAGGATTGAAGAACCCTACAGTGGGACCCTCATGGTTGAGGGTCCCCACACATGTTCAATACTCTCGATTAGATTCCAGTGGGCAAAGCCTGGAGTCCAATGTAGTCTGTTCGAAAAATGAAACCGGAAGTACAGTCGAGTCCACTTGAATTACCGGAAGTCTAGCCATAAGATGAAACTGGCAGTGTAAACAATACTTTGAGGAGGGTTGGAAAGTCGTCCGATGGAGTCCATCGTCTGCACATGTAACACATCGCATGCGTTAAGTCCTCAGGCGAGACTGGCACGCTTAACTTGAAACATATGAGTCGAAAAGTCGAAACAAACACGCTATACATGTGAGATTACTGCTCGTTCTTTCTTAAAGCGATGAGCCGAAACAAGCACGCTACAAGTCGTTTATTAAGAGGCAATTTTACCTTCTCGCTTCTTTTTGCATAACAGAAACGAAAAAAGCTTCTTCTAATAAAAGCTGCTTTAACTCTTGTTGTAATTTGTAACACCCGTCTCAGTTTCTAATAAAGAACGGTCCAATTAAGAATACAGTGACAGCGCAATTATTTACTGAACCAAGTTAACAATAAATTGCAGTAAAACATGAAGCTGGACTTTGTCCCGTTTGATTGACTGATATTTTTGCGCTATTGCCACATGACGTTCTCCAATTTCTCTACCTCTTGCTAGCGTAGGAATTCGTCAAGTTAATAATTGGAACCCTGATATTTATGCAAAATGTTAAGTTTTCAAGTATATAATCTCGTCGTGCGCGTCTAGTGTACGCAGCGCGAAAACTGCGCGTGGTCTCAGTGTTGCAATCTCGGTTGCTCTATTTTTCTTACTATATACCTGACATCATGCAGTTGACGTCACGAAGCAATTTGTGTTTCCAGGCAACATCAGGCGCATTATTATGTTTTATTCATGAAATGCTGATTCTGCGACGGTTTATTCAATCACGAACAATTTGTCATGCAAATGACACACGAAAGCAAGCATAACAACTTTAGCTGGATTCACCAAGTGGCACCGAGTTCACTCATGCATGTACACGAATAACTATAATTGAACACTTGCAGAAATTATTTGGTACTTTTTACAGGGTTTCAGTGCTATTGAAGGCAGGCATATTCAATAATCATAAGACATGAGTCATGATTTATGAGTGTAATTTCCTCTTCAAGTTCCTTCCATGTGTTCTGTTAATACTCTGCTTTGTATCAATGATATTTTTGACGCACGCGGGCATGATCAGCCAGCACGCACCTTGGCAAAACAGTTACGCTTTAACCATCAGGTGTTTTCAAGTTGCATCTCACATAAACAGGGGCGTAACCAGGATTTTTTCGGGGGTACGCACAATTCTCCACATGCCCTTTTCCCCCAACCCCCTGCTCAATGTTCCAAAAGGTGAGATTATTGTAAGTCGAAGCGTTCTTACTGTATACAGCTGTTTCGAGAAAGGTTGTCGGAAGAAATGCGCACGTGACAATCCCGAAAGGTAATATGGGATATGATCAATACACTGTTCGTAACGACTGAAGCTGTCAAACCTGCTTTTGTTGCTTTCCTTTAATACTCGCAAACATATGTCCGTGGCCTCCCGTACCATTCTTTCAAATTTCTTTGAAGAACATTGCCCTCAAAGCCACCCAAAATACCTTTCGGGATTGTCGTGTGCACTTCCGACAACCGTTGTCGAAATAGCTGTATGAAATGACGTGACTGTGTAAACTGAAAAAAATCTTTATCGTCTTTTTGTAATCATGGACTGAAGCACGTCAATCGCTTTTGCTAACTTAAGGCTTAAAATATATCATTTATATTTATTAAATATTTGGTCCACCAAAGGAAGCCGACATTGGAGAGTAATTAAAACTAAAAGTTAAACAATCCGTTGTTAAATATTGATCCAAACTGTGAATAATTATATTTTACCTATCTTATATCCTTTGCTTTTTTTTCATTATTCGCTTTCGTATCTTATTTTATTATTATTTTTTCCACCCTCGACTTTTTGAGGTACGCACGTACGTACCGTGCGTGCGTACAGGTAGCTACGCTTGCTACGCTCCTGAGAAATGTATACTTTTTAATTTTTGATATGCGATTTTACCTTCTCGCTTCTAATTAGATAACGGAAATGAAAAAAAAAATCTTTTAACAATTTTTTCCCCAACTTTTGCCGTAATTTGTAACACCTGTCGCAGCTTCTAATAAAGAACTGTCGCAATTAGGAATACATTAACGTAGCAATATTAAGCGAGCCAAATTAACAATGAATTGAGATAGGAGGTAACACACGTGACTGACGTTTTCTATCGTTTAATTGAAAGATGTCTTTGCACTATTGTCATGTGACAGTCCACATTTTCTCTCTTCCTACCGTTTATTAAAAAAACCGATAATTACAAATAAAATACGACAGCATGGCTAATTACAAATAGCGCAAAAAATATTGGAAGCAGGAAGTTATAATACAGTGCAGTTATTAAAATAAGGACGATTTAAAGAACTAATAGAAACACGCACCGTAAATGATGTTATGGGCCCCCACTCTTAAATAAAGCCTTTTGTCTAATGAACGCCCCTCTTAAGATGTCAAGCGGTTTGTATTAGACGCCCCTCTCTAATAACGCCCCCTGTCTAATAGACACCCCCCCGGCAATTACTCTGAAACGCTAGGAAATTCTGCTATTTACAGTTAACTCTCTTGATACTGAATTTTCGCCCAAAGCATACTAGTTTAACTGAGCTTCAAACGCTTTCCTCTTTTAAACTCCCTCCCTCTATTAAACGCCCCCTCTTGGCCATTGGACCCCTAAAATGAAATAACCCCCTGGGCGTCTATAAAATCATTTACGGGTATTAGCAAATGTGACCCTCAAATTCATGCAAAGATAAAAATCATAATACTCAATTTTTTAGTTAATCAGTATAGTTGACAAGAACTTCCTTTAACAGTTTAGATGGAGACCTGGTTCTGTATTCTTGGTTGGTTTCTTTCATTTCAAACCATCATTGGAAATAGATTTACAATCTTCCTCGTTTGCAGCAGACGAAATCTCCGCACCATAACCAACGCATTTATTGTTTCACTTGCAGTAGCGGATTTCTGTGTTGGTTTGAGCGTTATTCCTTCTCTGTTCTTCTGCGACATTACAAATACCTGCTACTGGTCTCAACATTTGCTATCTTGGTCATCTTGGGTGAATATTATAAGGTGGTTGCTTAGTAACAAGTCTGTTGTAAACTTATGCGTCTTAGTACTGGATCGTTTTATTGCCATCGTTCATCCTCTAAAATACATTAATTTCAGACTCGCTGTCGAATTATCTCAATTATTTTCTTCTCTTGGGTTATACCAGTTAGTTTTACGCGCTAAAGATTACCCTTTCTTTGTTTTATTTCAAAACAATACCTGTCCCTGTCCCACTTATTTGGCTGACAATAATTTCCGAGTTTCTTCCATGTGTTCTGTTAACACTCTGCTTTGCATCAATGACATTTCACGTACGCAGGCATGATCAGTCAGCACGCACCTTAGCAAAACAGTTACGTTTTAACCATCAGATGTCGTTAAAAATCCTCCACGATAGGTCTGCAGTAATAATAATGGGTCTTTTGATAGGAGTGTTTCTTGTTTGCTATGGGATGCATCTGCGTTGGCGCTGTGTTTAAAAGAATATTACAAAGTTAACTAAAGCTTACCACTTGACGTGCGTAACTCATTCTTGTAGGATGTAAGTCTTTTATGAACGAGTGTGAAAGGCTTGAGCAATTCAGTAAAAGACTGATAAACGTGTGAGGCTTGGACTCAAAGCGAATTAAAATTTGGAAAAAATGGCGCATTAGGAGAGAAAATAAGAATCTTTGGACCCTAACACAATACAAAATACAAGGGATCCGGAATTAGGACTTAGGACCAAGGTTCACAGGTGGTGTGAGACGCAAGTTCTTATTGGATGGAACTTTTTAGTTTCACCTCATGACATAGAGTATAATTTTGTGTTCACACCCTGCTACCAAAGCCCGCTTTGCTTCCACTTGCTCGATTTTGGCATACTCGAACAAGACTCTGCATCAATCGGGTAACAAAGGTAGCATGAGCATTTGCTGCTTTGTTGCTTGGATATAGTTGGGAACCCAGGCTTAATAGCCGTGCGCTTTGTACAGCGGGCTCATCGGTTATGACCATCAGTTTGTCAATCTCAGTCTGAAACAGATACCCACCCTCTGAATATAATCTTGACGAGAGAAAAGAAGATTGACAAGTTCGGAAGTTCGAGGTTTGGTGACTTTATAAGGCATGGCGCCAATTTTCTTCCGCAGTGAGGTTGTTTGTTCAATAGTCTTCGTACAAGTGGACTCTGTTAACGGCGATAGATTCCTAGAATTTACCGAACAAAACTGAAAGATTAGCTGTACGATATTCTTGTTATATGAAGTAATTTCCTTGTTGAGAAAAACACAAAAAAATGTAGTTGTTTTGTAATCTTTCCGTGCAAGTTTATTTCAGCTCAGTCCTGCAGGTGTGACTGAAATGATAAAATCGTGTAAAGTGTAAAATGACTTGTTATTCAGAAAAAAACGTAGCTATCAAATGTGTCACCTTTTTCGCCCGGTTACACGAACGTAAGGGTAATTTTCCTTCAAATTCTGTTGAAATCATGCCGACAAAGAAATTTTAATATTGGTTGCTAAGGAAGCCCAACAGCAAATAGGAGAGACAATTTGCTTGTGGCTGGAACAATATTAAAATCGTTTCATGCCGAATGAATAATAATACCTTCCAATTTAGCCGTTCGAAATAAAAATGCAGCAGAAGACATTTAACTAAACAATATTGTTAGCTGATTGCTAACTGAGCTAGTGAAACAGTTGTTAAAGATCATATCGACACCCCAGGCGTCTTGCGCCATGTATATATATATATATATATATATATATATATTGAAAGGTTTTATAGTGACAAGGTTTTATACTAAAAAACTGTTAGGCAAGACGTTTTTGTCAAGAGGGTGTTTTTTCCACAGTTGAACTGCCTTTAAAAACTTATCGACATTGTGTTTCTGTTTCACATGTGATCAGTTTTTTTTTTTTTTCCTTGCTCTATTTATTAACTGAAAACCTTTGCATACTCTATTTAGTACAGCAGTGGAATTAAACGGAACAGACTGCATGCATGGGCAGATTATTACCGTGATGCTGCTGGCTCATGTCTGTCTTGTTTTATTTTCTCGCTTAGGAATAGTTAACGACAACGGCGGAAACGTTCTCAGGCAAATTTAGTGATATTAGAGACGGCCTTTTTATTTATGCACTTTTGTGGTAATTTGTAGTAGACCTGTCGCAATTTGTAAGAAACATGTCGGCCGCAATTTAGGCTAAAGAGAAGGTACATTTCTTTTAATTAGCTAAGGTCTCGGTTAATTCCATCTGTTATAACTGACAGACCAGACCGGTTTAGTTGTAAAGAGAATATTTAAAATCCCGCCAGATCAGAGCTATTTAGATTAAGATCGGCAATGTTGGAGTGTCCCTTTCCATTTGACAAAATTGTTGTCTCAAATACCACTCTTTTGTAGAAACAATAACCAAACGCGCCGTGGTTTTGGTCGGGTCGATGTATAGTTACATTGGGCAAGGGAATTTCCAACATTTTAACCGGAATTTTTGTTGTATTGAAAGCGCCCATTGGCTTAGAATTACAGCGGTTAAGGCACGCAACTATCCTCATTTTCCTACCAACTGTGCTATTACAGCTCGGTCAGTTACCTAATGCGCATGCGGAACACATAATTATTAGAAATTACCAAGTTTATGACAAAGTAGGTCAATAAAAAGGACTTCAGTCTAGTAACATACATCTGCCAGTGAATAACTCACAACCTCCTGACACTTTTGCGAAGAGGATATTTTTCTTTTATCTGTAGTTAATAAGAACTTCTCTTAACTGCCGTTAGTACGGATGGAGACCTGGTTTTGGATTCTTGGATGGGTCCTTTCCTTTCTTGCCATCACTGGAAATGGATTTGTAATCTTCCTCGTCTGCAGCAGACGAAATCTCCGCACCAAAACCAACGCGTTTATCGTTTCACTTGCAGTAGCGGATTTTTGTGTTGCTTTGAGCGTTGTTCCTTCTTTGTTCGCATGCGACGTTACAAACACCTGCTACTGGCCTAAGGTTTTTCCTTCATGGAAAGATGTCGTAAGGTGGCTGTTTAGCTACTTGTCTGTTTTAAACTTGTGTGCTCTGGTGCTCGACCGTTATATCGCCATCGTAAAGCCTTTTAAATACATAACTTTTATGACTCGATCTCGTGTTATTCAAGTGATAACTTCCTGTTGGATAGCGTCATTTACGCTGGCTGCGTTCAAGACCGCACTTCGGCTTTGCTGCGAGACCCCTCTGACCAGTATCGTTGCAGTTGTGGTTTCAATGATTTTCATGGAAATCGTTCCATGCGTACTGCAAGTACTCTGTTTTGCGTCAATCTTACTTCATGTATGGAAACATGATCGGTCAGCACGCACCCTAGCAAAACAGTTACGTTTTAACCACCGGATATCTTTTAAAACCCATAACGAGAAGTCTGCAGTAATAATGATGGGTATTGTGATAGGAGTGTTTGTTGTGTGCTACGGAATATATTTGCGTTGTAGTCTATTAGTAGTATTTGACACAAATGCATCATGTAATGATGAACAATACAAAATTCCTGTCTTGCTTTTAAACTCGGCCATTAACCCACTGTCTTATGCTTTTTTCAAAAGAGACATAAAGAAAGAGTTTAAACGACTTATCAGTCTGGTGGTTTTTAAGAAAAGTAACCAAGTAGAGCCTTCCACTTATACGTTAGATCATTTTTGAAGGACCGAGATCTTAATATTAGTTGGCAGAACTGCTTTTGATAGCGGATTGTGTCAGGCATCGCGGGCGGCAGTTTTGGAGCCGGCAATTCCCTGGCGGTTTGTCTCAAATCATAGTTTGGAAGCACAGGTGTTTAGGGAGGGTACAAGAACCAAAGGACGATAAGAATACAATCCAATAGGGACCTTACTATCCGAAAACAGAGACGCCAATGAAAATGTCGCTGAAAAATAGACTTCGCGTCCTTTTTCGCCCTCATAACAAGTCGCCCAGTGAATTGAAACCACGGAACATGTGTTAAGTTGGAACTGAAGAGAGGAGACCGCGTCCGAGTTCAGAGAGAGATAGTAAATAAATTTATCGCCTTGTCGTTCCAGTTCTTAAGCCCGTCAACTAAAAAAAATTGAGTATTCCACGTTGTAGTTGTGTACGGACAGCGGAGAAGTGTACAAAAAAAAGTGATGCACGTGCAGCCGGAGCTGTTGTTTTGCTGGCTGAAGCCTATTGTGTTTTAGGCGTTCTCCTTGCCGTCGCTGTTGTAGTTTCGTAAGGTTCCTAGCAGTATATGTCAGTTGCTCTTGAAACGTCGATTCTGAGGTATCAAGCCCACGTCAACGGTAGTGGTAGACGAAATTTCTAATTGAAATTTTTGTTTCAAACCAAGGGAAAGTATTTCTTTTTCCTGGCTTTATTTTCCACATTAATTATTGTAATCAACTCTGTTAAGTAGTTTCCTAGACTTTAAACAAGCATGAAGTAAACGTTTTTGTTTTTGTACAGGAAAAGAATTGTATTATTTTTTCCTTTCCCTGAAAACTGATAGTTAATTAACCTCAGTCCATGCCAGGTGTGAATGAAATATTAAAAACTTTAGAGCATGATCTGTGTGATCCATACAGGCAACATGGATATTTTTTTTCAGATTCCCATTGATCCCTATGGTGCGGCGAAAAGCCATCTTTTTCTTCAAACAAGTTTTAAAGCTGTTTTTGCTTAAGTTTAGAGAACGTCAGTAGACGATTTTGTAATAATTTGTAATATCCTTCTTGATTTGCAGTACGTAGTACCTGTTCTAATTTGCATTCAGAAGGATCCTCAGTTACTTTCCTGTCATGTTCAGGGGTCTCCGTACCAATGAAAATAAAGCTAAATAAGTTGACTGAAAATAGGTATTGCAAAAAGGAAACATGAATTCAAATAAACTATTGCAAAGCGATTTATTTCTGTGTCCCACATGATCAAAAAGTGACGCTAAAGATGTTGTCTTTACCAATATGATCTCCTACATTAGCATAATTCGGAGATATCTTCGGAAATTAATTGCTATGCTATGAGACGAAACTGCATTTCAAGACCTCATCATTTTCTTTAGATATGAGCCAGTTATGCATGTCGATAGCATATCTATTCAATGTTTTTATGGCCCTTGAAACTTTGTTTCAAAATATTTCCAAAACGCTCCATAATTTGTTCAAACTTTGCCATGATCGAGGCAACCAAGGGAGGTATATACAAGCTCCCTTAAGGGATTTCTGAAAACACTCCATGGGAGTAGCGAAATTGTCCTTTTTCAAAGTTCAAATCGGTAGTTCCTCGCATTTTAACGATTTTTATCGTGGTTTCTTACTGGTTTATCTTGAATTTTCAAGATTCCGCCGGCAAAATCAAGTTGAACTTCAAGATTTTGCCGGCAGAATCACAGCCAATTCGTCCACGCCTCCCTACTGTTGTAGCGACTCCAACTCTGTTAAACTGTTGTACTTGAGTAGCAACATAAGAAGAAATGTCCCTATTGGCGAGGAGCAAGGAGAAACAGCTGTATTCGCAGGCTAAACAAAGACTCATATCAATAGAAGATTCACTCGCGTATTTCATGTTCCTGAAGAGAACTGAAAGAAAAGAGCTCATTTGAAAGCCAATAAATGGTAAAATTTCGAAGCCCTGCTTTCATTTGACGACATCAGTCCAGCCTCAAAAAGATTTTTCTTGTTCTTCGGGAATGATGTTGACGTATGTTGCATATTTTGAAACACTTCACCACGCTTTCGAGATAACCTGCTGTGTAACATCTCATTGCTACCGCATCACATTTCCAATCAAGGTAATGAACCTCCGAGTGCTGACAAGAGATGTCAAAATAGACCAATCATTGGCCTAGGGTGTACCAGAATCTGGTATACCGGAACGAGCTTTTCTTAAAAGTACTTCAGGCGTTCCCTCGCTCTCACTCGTAACCCACCCGCTCGTCTTTTTTCCCGGATGTATACAAAACATGGATGCCGGGTCCATGGATCACCCCTGTGATGGTCCAGGGTCCAGAGTCCAGAGTCCTTTTTCTCTGGTCCAGTCCGGAGTCCAGTCCAGGGCCACTCTACGGAGCGGTCCAACTATGTCCCTCATGGGTGTTCCACCATAAACACATTTTCTCTTTCTTTTTCTACGAAATTTTAAATGGTGGCTCGGGAGGGTTGATTTTGTTTTGGGGGAGGGAAAGATAGCTTTATCCTCTCTTTGGGAGGGTGATTCCGGACTAATTATTATATCATTGTTAGTAAGTCCTAAGTTCAGAGTCAAGTGTCCCGTGTGCAGACCAGGGTGCAGTACCCTGGGTGCCTGTACCTGAGCTTTCATGAGAAGCTCTTCTTTTTCTTAACTTACCTAGATTAGACGAAAGACGCAGTGAACTATGCGTAAGCACCTTCAAAAAGATTTCAAAAGGGGGCTACTCTCTAAACATTTTCAGACCTAAGTCGAGGGTTTGTGTGCATCATCAATTAGTATAGGTAATAGCATGATTAGTAGTGATATTTGGCATAAATAGCACGAGTGATATTTCAAAATTGTTATACGTAATTTCAAGAGCCGTTAGGCGAGTGAAATTTGAGACAATTTTGAAATATCACTCGTGGTATTTATGCCTAATATCACCTATAAATCATGCTATTTTTCTTTTTATACTACTACCCGCAAAAGGGTTGTAATTTTCACAGGTAGGTATTTCAAATTAAGCTGAAATACCACCGCTCTTAGCCAATCAAATTGCAGAAATGTTTCATGTAATAGTATAATACGAGCCGCTGATACAGAGAACTATATTACGATGCCCAAATGTAGGACTGAAAGACTACTTCGTAGTTTCTTTCCAAGTACAATCTTAACTTTGAATAATCGAGTCTGCATAGATCATATCAGTTGCATGTATGACAATTTTCTTTTTTTACTTCATCTAGCCAGAGCTTTGACAACGTTATCGTCAAATGGAGCTTTTGCGTCCAACAGTTTAATTATTTGACCAAAAACTGTCTCCAAAGTAGCCATTATAAAAACTAAGAGTGTAGCCATTACTTTTTTCTCTTCTCCTCCTTTCCTTCTCCTCGCCCTTTCTGCTTTTCTTTTCCTTCGTTACTATGATTTTGGAGCTTCTGACGGGCTTAAGAAACCTGCCTTTTGACACTTTTTCACTCAAATGACTGCAAATTTCGTTAGGTTGTTTTTCAAAAAATCGGCTAGGTATATATATTAAAAATCGTTTTGGAATTCTTGGTAATTCGATTACATATCATCGTCATTATTGTAAACCAGTCCCTTTTTTTTATACGATTTGCTTGTAATCTTATTTTTAAGAATACTTGTAACAACGTTGTACTGATTCATTAATTTGCGATGATGTTGAGATTGAACCTTGCTTACTTACTTAATTGTTAAATAATGGGTACTTCTCGGCTTTCGAACGTCTGCCACGCAGGCTCCGTTTAGTCCACTGACTACCTTCTTTTTTCGTCCCTCCCATGTGCCTAGCTGAATATTTCTGGATTCAACTCAAGCTACCACTTTTACCCTCTTTATCTGTTATCTTTTCCTCAAATACTTCAAAGCAGGTTATTTGACCGTCGGTTGTATATTGTGCATGAACAACAAGTTCCGACACTTGACTGTCGGGGGTACCTAATTATAATGTTCTATGATAACAGCAACCGTCTGTACATCCTGTCTTTCACAGTCAGCCTGCTAGGCATGATGGGACCAATTACAACTTACAACAACTTTATTTCAAAATCCTTGTTACAAAATAGAATTAAAACGCAACCCTCAAGTAGCAAAGGCTATTCGTGGCGGGTTGTGTAAATAATAAATAAATAAATAAATAAATAAATAAAAATAATTATTTAGATTCCTTAAGAAAAAAAAACAGTGGTAAGAAAAATGAAGATTAATTAGGTAAGACAATAGAGCACAACTGCATTACACGAAAAAGGATAAAAGTTAACTGTTAAGTTTGCATGCTTTACATGAAGTAAAATACAATACTAGGAGAAGCCGGCCAGTTGAAGTAACAGTTGGAGTGACAGTCTCTATAAATTGGACTGGGTTATTTCGTCAGCGTTCTTTGTGAGGGTATAACAATATTTATGAAAATAAGAAAATGCCAAATAACCAAAAAGCTTTCTGTTTCTTTTGCATTTTCTTATTTTTCAATTCTATCATTACCTTCTTTATTTTTTGTTTCTCACATTTCATACTTTCTTTCTTCTATTACTTTTTGTTAGTTTTGTTTTGTTTTTTTGTTCTTATCTATTTTGTTGTTTTCTTTAAAAAGTCTCAGTCAATCACAAGAAGTGGGTAAAAAATAATAAAATGTAACGAAAAATAAATTGATAGGTATTATTCAAACAAGAATGGCGTCGTAGCCAGGAGATAAATCTGTTCACTCCTTTCTTCTGCAAAGATAAAGTATATAACCAAAGGAGATTGTTTACTACGAAAATACGTAGTTAAATTAAAAACGCTATCTTCAAGAACGACGAAGAGTTCCCTACGCTGAATAGATACTTTTTAAGCCTTTTTGGCCCGAGAAAACAGCGTTTTAATTTCCAAAAGCCTGTCGTTTTTAGTCACGAAGTCTTTGCAAAGCAGCAGAAAGCCCATGACATGGAGCTACTTGGAGATATTAAGTAAGAGACACATAACTCATCCTCGGAGACCCAGGGGCAGTCAGTCGG